TTATCCCAGCATCCCATCTTAACTTACTCCCAGTACACTGGGGGACAGGATGGACTCGATCCAATGAATGCCCTGTCCAGAATGTACCCTGAGGATGGAGGGTAGCCCGAGGCTAGAGGAAGCTCGAGGCCTTGGGGTTATATTGTATCTCCTAACCTCGTCTGGTGTTTGGGATTGTCTACGACTACGATCAGGGGTCTAATGAATTAAGGAGAAAATGTACTGCTATTTTTTTATCTAATAAGGGTGCCAGCTATCATATGCTCTTCATAAATAAAATTTACTGCATAAAGTATTTCACATCTAGCAAACAAAGAAACTGCAAGTAATTCTAGAGTCAAAACTTTTCCCTAGCAATAAAATACTTTTAAAGAAATAGTATTTCAAGAGTCAAAACTATATTTTAATATTTCTCCTGAACTCATGAACATTGAATTTTTGTTTAGATTAATCTATACAAGAAACTTTCAAATCAATATTTGCATTACCCTGAAAAAGAACAAACTACTTGCTGCTAGGTTCAAAACTTCAAATGCTACAATGTACTTACTGGAATCTATATTGATTTGATATAGAAAATTAAATATAAAATGATTTCAAACAAAAATGAAGGTAAATCAAGAAAGCATCGTTTTCAATCAATATGACTTAAATGCACTTGGTATAATGTTTCAAGTCTACTAAATTATTGATAGAAGTATTTATAAGTGAAAGCCTTTGTGCATATATCTCTTGGATTTTCTTTATAAACCCATCTTTGAACACTATTTAATGAAGGAAATACTTACATAGATCTCAGTCAATCGTTTGTCAATTTTGGGGGGAGTGTTGCTCCTCAGCCCTGGGGATAGGACGCTGGTCGAGCGGTTCCCCCTGGATTGAGTCCCAGTTCTGGATTGAGCAAATCCGATTTCATCCGTCGGTTCATCGACACCAGTGTCAGCTTCCTCTAACTTCACATCATAGATTGCACTGAAAATGGACCTAAAACAAAACAGAGAATCATTATATGACTCAGGGATGTAAATCATTTTGATTATTGCCCAATTTTATCCTTGTTTGGTAATACTTTCTGATATTGCATGCTTGCATGCATAAGGTTTTACAAAAATGCATACTACTTCAATGCAAAGACAGATGAATTCATAAACATATATAGAGCTTTTTAATTTTATAATCATGAACTTCAAATCATCACTGAAATACCTATGTATGTAACTTTTTATTGTACCAATGACCTTGAACTTACTTGAGGTGGGGTCTAACAGACTCCAGGTCATTAGGTCGGCTAAGCATGGCCAGTAGAACCGGGTCTGACACGAAGTAGAACCTGGGGAAGGCCCGCCTCTTGTTGTCGAGGTACTCCATCAGAGACTTGAAGCAGATCTCCAGCTCCTGCTGCATGTTACGGAGGAGGTTCACCTTGGGCACCTCATCACCGGTACAGCACTGTAATAGCATCACCAGAGATCAGAAAACAGGTTTTAATATCTAGATTATAGGTATGCAGTAATTAAATTAGAAGGCACTACTACCATTAGCCTGCATGTCAAATTGTCTCCTGCACAAAAATATCATTATAAAATTTCAAAGCTTGACTCAAAGTTTACTCAATTTTAATTTAGTGTTTATAGCAGCATAGTGAAATGTCTCTATTTTATGTTCATTTTAAGAGCCATTCTCTGTAATGATTTGAAATTTTATATAGGAGCTGCGGCACTCTAGTCTCAGAATTTCTCCAAACTCTCTATGATTAAAGTCATTGATACCCTTAACTGAAATCAGGCAAAAATTGGTTGCTATGTTATATAGTTACCATGGCAATGTGTCTTAAAGTTCGAAAAATGGCATTTTTTAACATGTTTAGAGCCCCATAGTTAACATTTGCAGCAAAGCAAAGAATTGGCAATGACTGTTTCCAAAAGTTGAAGGTCAGATGTCTCAAATGCATGATAAACATGTTTGGTAAATCAACTATTATATACGTTACTATGGTAACAAAGTATTCAAAAGTAAAAAAAAAATATTCACTGAATTTTATAAAGTCATACACATAAAAATAAAAAGTAATTATAGGATGAAATGTGACCAAATAATAGAAAAAAGAGCCTTGAAACATATACCAAGAACAAAATATGATATTTCATTTTGGTTGGCAATGGTTGCCAAGGTTTTTATACCACAGAGAGCATTCAAAGTAACACTCTGTATGTTTAAATCTGATCCGTATTCACTAATGGTAGTTAATTAAGAGCCATTCTTTTTAAAAAAGCACATTTCCTCATAACTAATGATCAATTTTATAAGATGTTGGTGTGCTCCAAGTTTTCACATTTGAAAAAATTCAGATTAGATTCTTTAAATAGAGTGTTGCTATGGAAATAAGCAGAAAATATACGCTTAAAAACCTGAAAAATATTTTCTTTCCTTGGATATGTACCCTTATATGTAGATTCCCAAAACTTTTATGATTGATATTTATTAACAGCTAACCTGACTTTTGATTTTGACTATCATCCAATCTCTAAGTGGATGCATGAAGTTGGCACACAGGGTTTAATATTGATATAAAGTTCAAAAAATCGAACATTTTCCCTTCTTGGTAACCATAGCAACACTGTTGTTTTATTCATCAAATTTTATCAATATATGATATTCAACTTCAGTTTTAACAGATAAGTACTATTCAAGCTGAGTCCTTTAATTTGTTTCTTGATTAAATGGCAATTTAATTCTTAATGCAGCGAAAAATAATTCACTTTTAAGCAGTGGTACTTTGTTTCCATGGTAACACTGCAAAGCAGCAATTATACCCAATTTTCTTATGATTTTGGTGTTGCAAGGTCCTAAGGATGCATATTTGCCAGTCTTGAATTTTCATGTTTTTCCTCAAGACAGTAGCATTAATCCAATCTTAGTTACTGGTTTTGCATGGTTACACTGTGTTACCATGGCAACCATAAAAGTTATTTATAGAATAATATTGCTTATACTTATATACTTAAGGTCTAACATTTTCATTGTTTTTCTTAAGTCGTTGATTGAGTTTGAGCATGTAACACCTACCATAAGTGAATACGGAGTGGTTTTCAGCACATTTCAGCATTTTAAATATATTCCAAATGTACTTGGTTACCACTTACTTAGAGATATATTCTTAACAGTTTCTTTACAGTATAAGTGACATCAAGGTGTCATGTTTTTGTGAGAATGGTTTGTTTGCTTTTTCTAGTTTTTGTTAAGCCACAGTGAAGATTTAAAGTGGCTGAAAATCTCGATTTTTCAAACTTTTCCGGCTGTTGCCATAGCAACCGAGACACATAGCAATGAAATTTTGTTTGATATTTGTTTCTGGTGTCAAGTACTAAGCATGGGTGAAGTTTCATCAAAATCAGTGACCATGCGTGGCAACGAAGTTTAAGTGTTTACAGAGAATGGCTATTAATCAATATGAAACTAAAAAAATCATTTTTCAAGTTTAAGAAAACAACTAACTTCATTCATTAAAACATATCTTTATATTTCAGTTCTTTACCTGTAGAACACCTCTCATCTCAAAGTAGGTAGTCTTCATCATCTTAGTCCAGCTTTTGTCCGTCCTAGCGAACCTCTTGGCCTCCAGCTGTAGTTCCTTGGCGGTCACAGAGTTACTGAACACAGCCTCCAGGTACTGCCACAGGTCCTGAACCTGTAGCCACAGCTCCAACACCTCGGTAACGTCCTTCAGCTTCTTGGCCCACAGTGCCGTGTCGTCCCTGAGGGGGGCGATGTACTTAGAGGTCAGCATGCTGGCCAGAAGAGCCTGGGCATCTTCCAGCTGTTCCAGTAATCGCTCAGTGGAGACCTTATCTAGGAACATGGGGCCTCGGTTCTTGTAGTGCTCAAAGGTCAACATCTGCTCATTCCACTCGTCTTCTGTGACGCGCTGTTTGATTTCCAGCTCCAGCTCTCGACTAGCACTCAGGCAGATTTCTTCTATGTCAGCCTTGTGTCTATAAAGGAATTTGGTTTCTGTAGATTTTGAAAATTTCAAATTTCTTTGCTTCTTTGTTTCAGTCTATAGATTTTGAAATGATTATCTATTTCTTTGCTTACGTTAACCTTGATTCCATAAGAAAATTAATGAATATGAGGCATGTTGTAGAAAAAATACAGAAACCCTGAATGCTCAGGCTTATGGTGCTCTATTAAACATTGTAGTACATAGCACTTAACTTATTCATTTAACCAAATGTACCCATTTTACTTCCAAGAGATCGCTCAGACTTACTTGATAAGTCCTATGTCCAGTAAATGGGACAGTTTAAACACGTTGGCCTCCAACTGGAACTTGACTCCTGTCACGTTCATCACATCCAGCCAATGGCGGTTACGGATTTCCTAAATAAGAAAAGATGTACTGTACAAACTATGCCAATCATGAGAAGTACATAAGTTAATATTACAGCTTTTCATATTCCTAAATTTATCTAGCAGCTACTTTATCTATTAAATAATATAGAGAAAATCAGTGTTCCCAGAAATTATTGAGAATATTCATTATATTTTAAAATTCATTTAAAAGTCAAAATAAATGTATTTTACATATAAATGGCTGAAAACTCTCATATTTGAAGGATGCAGTGTTTTCTGCTTGCATCAAAGATTCTTAGGTCTAGTTGCGAAAAAAATAGTTTCCATTCCAGTCTCTACATTCCTTTTTTGTTCTCTCTGAGCAGATACCCAGCCTTCCTTTGATCTGCATTACTTTCCTTCCCTGGGACTACCATCTCCTTTCCTTTTTTTCTTTTCTTTTCTTTTTTTTTTTTTTTTTTGCTTTAAATCAATGATTATCTTTTTCTTCTTTCTTTCTTTTTTCAAAATTTTGTTCCGCATGATGTAAAGAATATATCGTCGTTGTAATATCAAAATGTCGTAAGTTTTTTGGCACGAAATTTTTATTGCTATTTTGGAATCTGCAATATCAAATACAAGTTCTTTCAAAATGTCATGTCTCTAGGCCAATTAGAAAGTGAGATACAGACGTGTGATAAAAGCGCGTATGTCCATTGGATGCATTTTTTTCTGACAAAAGGTCGTATGTCTCTGGGCACTGACAAGGATGTCACTGGCCGTCTGATATCAAGGTAAAAATTATAATTTTAGTTAAATCTTTTATAATTCTTACTAAAAAATATGTTCAACATAAAAAACAAAGTATATTTATTTAATTAACGGAGAAATCAATAGAAAGATTGATGAAAAGTTAGATGTTAGGTTACTTCATGACAAACTGAATTGTTTTCGCAGTTTGTAACTGCAATCAATTTATGAGTATGTTAATTCATATAATACATTTTAGAGCGTTCTAATATCAGTTCGTACGCTTACAATACATTGCAAGGGTTTGTTTCAATGCTTTTCTGGAGATACGACAATTTGTACAGAAAAAACATCCAGGACAGAAAGAAAAACACTAGACATACGACATTTTGAAAAAAGATGTTTTTTGTCTCTCCTGAAAAGTTGGGATTTTTGACTTACGACAATTTGATATTACAGCGACGATATGGAAATACTGAGTGTTTGAGAAATATCCTCCCTTCCTTATACACATTATATATAGAGGTCCCAAACATGTTTTCTGTTTTTTTTAAAGACAGCAGACGACAGGAAGTACACAAAGGGAGATAAGTCATGAAAACTTATAAGAATAAGAGAGTATATGCCCTTTGATGAAATTAGCAATTTATTGACAAAAATTTCTCAATAATTTCTGGGAACATTAAATAACAGGTATGTGTAATTAAACTAGAACTGTCCAATAGGGACAAATACCCCCGCTGGGTTTTTCAGAGAGGTGCAAGTTCACAAATATTTATGGATCTATTAAGAGGTGTTCACTAGAATCAAATTAATCTATATAAATTTATATCAAATTCATTTAAAAAAATAATAAAGTGCAGTCAGCCTCAGCATGATACTCCCATTAAATATTGTTCATTCAATTATTACAAACAGTTTAGAGTGCAAGAAAATCATGTCAACCTTTAAAGGGATTTGCGTAATTTTTCCATTCCTTATAATAATATTGTTTAAACATCTCCTGTGGTGCAAGCTTTAATTATAACAAATAATCATCAGCTGGTTGCATTATAGCTTGACAAATGCCCCTCCTCCACAAACATACACATATGCACATGTCTTTCATGACTGGGACATGATGACCTGAAATTGGTCACTTGACATTTTAAAAAAAAAAAAATCAATTTAATTAATATGTCTTAAAAACTTGATCTATACCAAATTGATTTTAGAAATAGGAGACTGGCCATCAAATGACAAATTCTATTTAAACTGACCAGCAGTTCTTCTGTCTAATCCCCAAAGGACACAGATAATAGCTCCTTGATCAGAGATATGATTGAGACAGCTTCAGCTTCCCTACATAGAACTCATTAATTAAACTTTGACTGGATGCATGCCCACTAATTGCTATCAAGGGATGAATGGATCTTAACATTCTCCTTTGTAGTGCAAACAAAATGCATTATTGCATGTATCATTCTGAAATTAAATCTGAAAACAAAGATTTTGTATAAATTTGTTACAAAGATTTATACTGAAAAAAAAATTGTGTAATCTTGATGCATCATTTTGAATAAGGTTCCTGCATGATTCTTAAGATTTGTAGGGACTATCTACCAAAATTTATTTTTTTTAAATAATTGATTTAATTGGATTTTATATCATACTAAAAGTTTCAATCTGAAATTAATGTGGAAATGGCATACTGATTCCAATCCCCCACCCCAACCCCCACATACACACACAATATCATTAGTTTTAATTATATTATTAATACAATATCAATTAAGTTTTTTATACAATTTCAAATTAGTTTATTATACAATAACAAATTAGATTGAAGTTGCTTTTTCTAAATTCATTAAATTAGTTAGGCTAGTCTCTATAGGCTGATTCCCAGCCCAGTTCCCAAGAGACAGATAACAAGTTCTTGATTAGAAATGTTCTTCAAGTAAGCTCCTTTACACTAAACTAATTAATTTCTCTCTAATTTGACATGCAATTTTCTGTTATCAAAATTCTCCTTGACCAGTGCTTCATAATTATACCCTTGGGAGAGGTAGATTTTCTCTTATATAAAATAACATTTGTTATGGATTGCTGTAAAGTATATAATAAAAAAAATATTTTCTAAATTAAACATGTTTTAAATAGGGATACTGCAACATTCTTACATTTTTTGGGATTGTTTAATTCAATAGAAAAGTCAGTTATTTTTTTTAATTTCACTTTAATTAAAGGTCACAGTGACCTTGAAATAGGTCATGACACACCTTCTACCCAAGATGCATAAATTGGCCAAGTTTGATGATTGTAAGTCTAATAGTATTCTAGTTATGAGCCAAACAAAACAACAAAATAAAAAAGAAAAAATGCCTGTAAAATGCTGAAAAATAATCCAATCATGATGAAAATACCAGGTGCACACCTTCACATGGTGAATAATAAGTGTACAAATTTTCAGACAAATCCATCCAATAGTTTCTGAGAAATTCTCAACAAAATCTTGTCTACAGACAGACGGACAGACGGACATGGTGATTCCAATATACCCCCCTAAACTTCGTTTGCGGGGGTATAAAAATATGATACAAGTTTTTGGGTAAGAATAAATAGGGGAATTTTATAATGCAGTTGAAGGGGACTAAAACTAAACTATTTTACCAAAAACATGCTACTGTTACTTAGAAGTTTATTAATATTCAATTACCAGAAAATCTTTTTTTAAGAATTATACCCATGCAATCTCACACCACTTGTAGGCATGTAGCATTGACAATCACAATTTGTTACTGATTATTTAATACCATAGACAAGGCATACCAGCTACATATTGACACATGCACATGCTTATTAAAATGATTTAGATGTTCCAACTTCCATTTTACTTCTAATAAGGTTAAATCTCTAATAAAATTAGCTAATAATGTCTCTGAAAAAGACTTGAAAGACTCCATGCCCAACTTTCCTGCCAAAATAAATTATTAAAGCAATTAAACTTTAAAATTATCTTCAAGACATAAATCCAACATGGACATTTTTTAATTTTGACCCCCCCCCCCTTAAAAATTGAACTCTTTACTAATCAATAGCAGGAAAATTGGGCAATTAAAATTGTGAGTTTGATTCCTGTTAATTACAGACAGACATATGCTTTACTTACTGGTATATGGTATTTAATACTTCCCTGGATGTGAGCCATGCAGTAAAGAAGGGTTAATGTGAAAAAATATTATTGAGAACGGGAGTAAATGGTGGGTAAATGGATAAACAAAATACAGAAAAAAAGATGCAGGTAAAAATATTTAAATAAATCAGTAAAATCCTTAATCATGGAGGACTACAATTTATAAATTTAAAAAATGGACCTGTTGTATCTGTTATTTAAAGTACTACAGTACTATTAATTGTTACAGTACTAACTAAAGTTGAGGTGTCAGGATTTTCTCTACACATTACTGTTAAAGATATAATATATGCAGATGCCATTATAGCCATGTTACTATAAAATTAAGAGAGAAAAAAATTCATGCAGATATATTATAATTTGATATGGAATATATCTAGATCTCAAAAGCATGTTTGAATTCAGAATTGCGAAGGAAAAGCTGGTCAAATAAGAAAACTGAGATCTGGAATAAGGGATGAGAGATGTGCAATGGTTGGTGTATTTTGGTCACTATCTCTGTATTTATCTGGCTGATTACCTTGGAGTTGAGTTTTCGGAGCAGCGGGAACACTTCTAGGTAATTCTGTAGTGAGGTTTTGAGATCATGATAAGCATCCCAGTCCTTCAGCTTACTGGGCAGAGCCAGGCATTCATCCCAATATCCCTCCACCTGCAGAAAGAAAACAAAAGTTTTACTCAAGTCCCAATATTTGTAATAAATGAAAAAGCTCGAAGGTATCTTCTTTATTTAGGACTAATCTTTTATCAGAAAGGGTTCTTTGTACTAGATTTCTTTTGGCACAGACACAAAACCGTGGTTGTTTTTCATCACCATACCTCAATGAAAGCAGCATCCAAATCTACATCTGCCCACAGGGTGTCTCTAAATCTGGTATCAAATCGGATGAACTTTTGGAACAGTCCATACAACTGACTCAGCAGATCCAGTTCTTCACCGGTTTTATCCAGTTCAGGGAAAGGTTTGCACACAATACCAAACAGCTTCGACACAGACACAAGTGTGTTTCGTTTTGAGTCGTACAGTTTGTATTTCTGTTGGAACTCTTGCAGGCTAGCCACTGCTTTAGCTGGGGGAGTGTTGGGAGCGTTAGGTCCCTGAGAGTCAAAGGCATTCCTGAATTCCATAACCTCTACCACGAAAGCTTTCACATTTTTGTCCAGTTCCTGTTCAAAAGCTCCCCTGCGTTCCTTCAGGAGATTTTCTCGTACTTGTTCGGCAAGTTCCATTAGCTCCACCCACTTGTCGCGGAGTTGGTCCACCTCTTCTACTTCATTTCTTGGCAACCGAAGTTCAAACTCCCTGTAAAATATACATTTAATTCTCAATATATACATTATACAAAATATGTATTATTGAATTATTTAAAAAAAATCAAATTTAGGAAAACTACTAATTTTCAACTTATGCACTTGTACATTTCAAATCAACAAATATCATTTCTTATGATTGTGCAAAAAAATTTTGGTGGCAAACTAAAGGTTGAAGTGGTTGTCCAGTTAAATAAAAGCCATATATTATGTGATTGCTAACTTCTGTAGAGACCTTTGCACAATTTTCTGGAGTAACAGGGGAAACAACTCTCCTTGGAACAAACCTGCTGATATTTTGGGATTTTCTTCTGAATGCAATATAAATCTCACCTGAGCTTCTCATACATGGTTTCTATGGGGAGATAGATGCTGTCTACTTTGTTTTCCATGTCCCGGAGCTCCTCCAGTAACTGTAGAGCACTGTTCAGCTGGTCCAGAGACTGGACATGAAGTTCCAGTCTGTTACGGACATTCAGTCTGTACAACACTGCCGAATCCAGCTTTTTCTGTTGTTTAAAAACACACAAATAAGTTACAAATGGGTCATCTTCAATATTCCAATAATAATAATTTAGCATGTTTACCAGAGGCCTGTTCAACAGAGCAATCATTTGCAAGGGCACTCCAAAATTCCTTATACCTTCAACAGTAATGTTTGCGAGCACTTGCTCTGTCAAACAGGCCTCTGGTACATGTATATGCATTAATCTTTTTTTTCATCTCACATTATTTGTAACCAGACATTATACAATCTATATATGATATTGTAAATTGCATTAAAAAAAACATCATCGTGTTGGTTTCTGACTTCAAGAGAAGATCCAACAATTATTAGACCTAGGTTGCTAGATTTGAGGTTGCTTGAAATTAATAATTTGCAAAATGCCAGTCAATACCTTAGCTTCCTCATGTAAAACTGAAGCAAACTGGATCTTCCAGGCCATGGCGAACCCATGGAGAGCATATTTGATGGGGTCGGTGCCCAGACAAATACAGCCCACGGGGAGAACTTTGGGGATACTCAGGACTTTCTTCTCGATGTACAGGAATCGCTCCACCTCCTTCTTGATGTTAAACATGCCAGGTTCCCCCATGATGAACTCCTTAAAGTTACCATGGAGATCGTCCTTCCACAGGAAGTTATAGTAGCTGAAGTGGAACAGGTGCTTGTTGACTGTGGATTCCAGCTCTGAAAATTTACAATAAAATTCATATCTATTAAAATTTTATATAAAAAAACAAAACAAAACAAAAACCAAACCAAATAAAACAAAAAAAAAAACTTTTTGTGACTTTTTTAAAAACAAAATAATTTGAAAACGTCAAATTTCCAAAATGAAACTGAAATGAAGACTTTCACATTCTACATGGTTTTCAATTTTTTTTAAAGCCTGAAATATAAACACAGCAAACTCTATTAACTACTTTCAAACCTTCTTTTATCATTTTAAGTACTTTTAGTCAAAAAATCTGCAAAATGTCAGATGAATCATTTAAAATAAAGATTGATTCAATATATCATGCAATTCATTAAATGATACCTGTAAAACACAATGAAAACTTCTTTTGTAAAGCATTTCAGTATAGCCACTCACAAACAATCATGGTAAATGAACTATTTCACTATACTGGAAGGTCTTTTACATGCAAAGGGGGCTCAAGGTCTGAAATGTGCTCACTTCTCAGATTTTTTTTTTTACATGCAAGTCATGCATATCTACTCGTCATTACCTTTAAAAACAGAGGTAATTCCTCCTTTAAAACAGATGTAAAACTATAAATCCAAATTATAAATAAAGCAGACATGCAAACATTGATGACTGATGCTTAACTGTCAACATATATTAATTTAATACATAAATTAAGTTCTGTAGAAGATTGTTTTTTTGTCAATATTTCTGTTAAAGATTATGACTGTTTCAAACAAAGACCTTCTTTTATTCATGAATATTACTTCTAATTTGTTTTTATGAAGAATGTTTCTCAAGATCTCCAAATTAATTGTCATTGATGGATTTATAAACTGGTAAATCTCAAATTATACAAATATGTAGTTGTGAGTGCTCTGTACTTTTCATTGTATGTGTACATGTTTGACCTTGTACTCTAATTTTACCAGATCTGAGGTTAAAGTTCATGACCTTCCTCATGCTAATTGTCCTGTCCATCAGTATTGCAATCACTGCCATGAAGTTTGGTGCTGCCGCTCTACAAGATAACTTTGTGGCGGAGATTTCTACAAACTACGAGAATTCTATAGAGTTTGTCTCCTTCTATGGACTTCTGAATTTCTACATGTATACAATGGCATTTGTGTACTCTCCCTCTAAAAATGCACAATATATGGTGAGTAACTAGGCATTCACTGTATACAGGTTATTTTTTCATTCCATGTTATTTTTCTTCTTTCAATTTTCTTCTAGTCTTTAATTCCCCCAGACACAGTTGTGTTATAGAGATATGCTGTGTCCTTTATTTGTCTGATTTTGAAGTTATTGACCTTCTGAAAAATTAAGGGGAATAGGATTTAAAATAAAATGACAAAAACAATTCCACCATGCAGTAACTTTTTTACACAGTCTTGCTCAATACTGTTGATATATAATTGAATATTGATTTAAATGATGACAAATTTTTGCTTATGATCCAATAGGAAAGCTTGTTTATCATGAGAAGTTAGGGGTATTATTGGGAGTGTAATGTTATTATGATGTAATATTCACGATTTTAAATGTATTTTATTTACCCTTACCAAAGTAAAATTATTGCAGCAATATTGCCGCTATATTGCGGCAACATTGCAGCAACACATTTTTGTCACCAGAAACAAGCTTTTGGGGTTAGTGAAATATCACCGCTAGCGGCAACAACTTCTGGTGACATTCTGGCAATACTGCCAGAAAAAATGAAATATCACCGCTAGCTGCAACAACTTCCGGTGACATTCTGGCAAAACTGCCAGAAAAAAACTTTCTGGCAACATCTAGAATTACCCATGAGCCATTTGTTGAGCATGCTCAGTCATTTACTTCCTCTTTTTAAATAAAGTGGAGGGAATTCAAAGGCAAGCATGTTTTGCTTCATTACTGACTTGTATTAAGTTAATTAGAGTTGTTAATTGTGTACAGTGGGATTAGTCAAGATGAGTGGTAAGACTGCATAGTGTGGAATGACTAGAAAAAAGAATTTAAGCAGAATTATAGGAATGTGTACTCTGTCTCTATATCATCAGACTTGGTGAGTCAAAACCAATATTCTTTTTGAGATGAATGATTCAATGCAGATAAAATTGGAAAAATTATATGTGTTTCAATATTAGTGCTTGTGATGCATGCATACTAGACTTGTTTGTCTATATATCCTAGAGTAGCAGGAAAAGATGAATTAAAGCATGTAAATATTTGAAAATTAATGCAGAGTTACTGGAAATTTTCACAGTGGCATATTAATATTGTTTCTATAAACATTTTTTATGCGCCCGTCTCGATAGATCGGGGGTACATATCGATTTTGTCCTGTCTGTTTGTTTGTAAACTTTAACCTTCACCATTACTTTTGAACCAATGAGAGATAAAGATTTCATATTTGGTATGTCTACTCCACTAATTAAGTTCTTTCAAATGACATCAAGGTCAATGACCTTGTGACCTTGACTGTGACCTATATGCTAAAAATAGCTTTTTCGAATATTCATCATAACTTAAAATTAATGAAAGATAGAGACTTTATATTTAGTATGCATAATTCACAAATAAAGCTTTTTCAAGACACCTGAAGGTCAATGACCTTGAGACCTTGGCTGTGACCCATATCCTTAAAATAGATTTTTTGAACCTTGGACATAAATCTTGAGCCATAAAAGTTAGAGAACTTGTATTAAGTATGCACCCTTCATTAATTAAGCTCTTTCAAATAACACCAAGGTCAATGACCTTGGGACCTTGACTGTGACCATATACTTAAAAGAGATTTTTTGAAACTTCAACGTAACTTTTGAGTCATAAAAGATGGAGAATTCATATTTGGTATGCACCCTTCACTAATTATACTCTTTCAAGTAACACCAAGGTCAATGACAATTTGACCTTTACTGTGACCCATATGCTAAAAATAGCCATTTTGATCCTTTGTCATAAATTTTGAACTATAAGAGATAGAGACTTCATATTTAGTATGCATACTCCACTAATTAAGTTCTTTCAAATGACACCAAGATCAATGACCTTGTGACCTTGACTGTGACCCATATGCTATAAATAGCTTTTTCAAACTTTATTGCCACCAGGCGCATAGTGTTTCACAAACATATCTTGATTTTCATTCTGATGATCAACATAATTTCTATCTGTTCTAAGAATAGCAGAAGTAGCTATTTCTTATTGACCCTGTGGCTTGCTATTGTTTGTTATATTCCTCAGCACAGTTTGTTAATTGTTAGATTGATAGATCATTATTTCTATTAAATACCAATTTATATCTAACTTACATACGAAAAACGATATAATAATGCCAGAAGATGTTGCCAGAAGAAAAATATTTTGGTCATGATTTGCAGCAATATTGCCGCAACCCCTTTCTGGCAATATTGCCGCAAAACTAATTAACATACGAAAAACGATATTTCCGCAATTTTGCGGCAATAATGTCGGAAGATTTTGCCAGAAGATCAATATTTTGGTCATGATTTGCAGCAATATTGCCGCAACCCCTTTCTGGCAATATTGCCGCAAAACTAATTTACATACGAAAAACGATATAGCCGCAATATTGCGGCAATGTATTGCCAGAATGTTGCTGCAATATTGCGGCAATAAAGCCAGAAGATGTTGCCAGAAGGTCAATATTTTGGTAAGGGTATTCATCTTTTATGAAATTGTCTTTGAAAAAATATGTCTCCTACAATGTAATTTTCAACTTGAATTAAAGGTTATTATGAAAAAGAAATGCTTTGATCATGATTTTCTTTATTTATGACAGAAACAAACTTTAAAGAAAACCCAGCATTATCCATGTTGAATGATTCTGATGAAGAAGTGCATTATGAGTAAGAATTATTATTTCCTAAATGCAAATTTAAACTTTTACCCATCTCAGTACTGTAACTCAGATGGGTGTGCAATGAGCTTACACAGATGAGTGAGATGACTCAGATGAGGGACATGACTCATGAATGAGATGTAAGAATTCAGATGAGTGAGATTTGGAAAGACTCAGATTCATTAGTGAGATGTAAAACAGCCCAGATGAGTGAAATGAATCACATGATTAGTTTAAAAACATTGTATTTATATTGGCATTGTGACAATCTCATTAAAACTAGATGCTTGGATCCTCAAACATTTAACAACATCTCATAGGTCACGTCAGTGCGACCATAAAGTTAATTGCTCTGACATGACCCCAAATGGTTTGAGAAGTGGTAGCGGATTCGGAACATCAAATTTTAATTAGAATTGTTATGTTTCAGTGAAAGTACACTGGGCACTCAGAGCAATTATTACTGTACAAGCTATTTTAGTTTTTTTTTTTAACATAGTTTATTGTATAATTATGCCCCCCTTCAAAGAAGAGAGGGCATATTGCTTTGCTGCTGTCTGTCGATTGATCTGTTGGTCCATTTTCTTCACAACCGTTGCACATACTGAAATGAAATTTGGTATACAGGTATATCAGATGAATATCTAAGGAAAGTTCTGTTTTGGGTATGATTGCACCATTTTTGACAGAGTTATGCCCCTTGGACTTAGAAAAATTCCAAGTATTTGCAGTTTCCGTTCATTTTCTTTGGAAAAGTTGCATATTTTGAAATGGAATTTGGTATACAGATTAGTCAGATGAATATCTAGGTTAAGTTATATTTTAGGTACGATTGCACCATAATCGACAGAGTTATGCCCCTTGGAATTAGAAAAAATTCCAATTATACAGTTTCCGTTCATTTTCTTTGGAGAAGTTGCACATATTGAGATGGAATTTAATATACAGATTAGACAGTTGAATATCTAGGTCAAGTTCTGTTTTGTGTATGATCACACCATAGTTGACAGAGTTATGCCCCTTGGAATTCTTATACAGGAATAATAAAAACAATGAATTTTAGAGTAAACATTGCCTATATTTTTCAGATCCGATGCAGAGGAGATCAGTTTGACGAACAGGAGGGGGAATCGTTACCAAGACGAGGAGGAAACCTTCCATTGACGTCACACAAACATAGAACTGTGTACAGTGTCAGAGGGGATCCAATGGGGCGGGGGAACTGTGTGAATTATTCATAGTATAAACATGGGAACTCTCCATTGACATCAAACAAATCTAGATCTGTATACAATGTGAGGATGGATATCCAGGTGTGGAACTGTGTGAATTACTCATAGGTTACATTTCGACTCTCTCCATTGACGTCACATAAGCCTAAGTAGAACTAAGACAGGGGAGCTAATCCCATCTATGTCTGGTGACAGGGAAATCCAGTGTGGTGTGGAAATGTGTGAATGTACTGGGGTATATATAGAAATCGGATGGGAATTCTTGTGTAAAGAGGGATATACTCAGGACCAAAAATGTTAAAGAAAAGTGTCATGTCCAAGTTCACAAAAAGAAGGTTTTTTTTTTTTTTTTTTTTTACAAAAAAATCATTTTCATTAAAGTATTCAAAATAGTTTTACATATGTATACATGTAATTATCAAAGAAAAGAAAATTTTGATTTTAAAGATAATTGAATGAGTTTGACCAGTTTGTTTTCCTTCAAAATTCTTCATGTTTCCACAAGGTTATCTTGTTGCAGACTAATATGAACTACTACATGTAGTACGTGCATCGCGTAGAGTTTTAATGTTTCATTTTACAGTCATAGAACGTGAGGCAAGTCTTGAAATTACAAGTACTTTATTTCTGATTTTTTCTTTATTTGTTGTGTATTTATAAGATGCCTTTTTTTGTTTTTTATCAGTGAATGTACATCAGTTTTGAGAAATGTTCCGATCATTCAATGTTATTGATAAAATAAAATGCAGCATGTAATAGTTCAATTCAAACTTTTCAAAAGATATGTCTCTTGGTCGATATCTTAGGGGATAAACCCATAGAGTCCTCACTGTAGCCTTTGTAGTTTTCAGGTTTGTAACTTCGTCATTTGACTAAAAAAAAAGCTCTACCTCTTGTGTACTGACTGCCCCAAGATGGGGCTACCCACACATGGAAAGAAAAAAATTAAAACACAATGGATTTATCAGAGCATGCCAAAATGTTTGGTAGCATAAAGAGGAGAAATGTCGTTTCTTTTCCCATAGACCTTTTGATTGACTCCGCAAAGGAGCACAACTTTTGCAAAGTGTGGATTGGACTATTGTAGTCTTATATGTGTTGAAATTATGATCAGAATGTTTGATAGATGGTACGTACTGTTGAATTTGCAAGTAGATAACTAAAAGAGAGTTAATAATTATACCCCCGCTCCGAAGGAGAGGGGGGTATACTGTTTTACCCTTGTGTGTCTGTCTGTCTAGCTGTCCGTGTGTCCGTCCGTAACAAATTTTTGTCGCAGTTATCTCAGCAACTACTCATCGTAGATGCTTGAAATTTAAACACAATCTTCTCTGAGGCATGCCATATGGTGGGATACATTTTCGCTCAAATCCGATATTAACTTCCTGTTTGTGGGTTCGTCTGTCCTTTTCATACATAACAAATTTTTGTCGCGCTTTTCTCAGCAACTACTCATCGTAGATGCTTGAAATTTTAACACAATCTTCTCTAAGGCATGCCATATGGTGGGATACATTTTCATTCAAATCCGATGTCAACTTCCTGTTTGTCTGTGTGTCTGTCGGTTTCATACATAACAAGTTTTCGTCGCAGTTTTCTCAGCAAATACTCATCGTAGATGCTTGAAATTTTAACACAATCTTCTCTGAGGCATGCCATGTGGTGGGATACATTTTCACTCAAATCAGACATCAACTTCCTGTTTGTCTGTGTGTTTGTCCGTTTCATACATAACAAATCTTTGTCCTAGTTTTCTCATTAGTTATGCACAGCAGATGCTTGAAATTTTTTTACACACTTTGTTGAGGCATGCTATTATGGTGGGATTAATTTTGATATGAATCTGATGTCATTTTCATATTTTTCTTTGCATCTGCCTGTAATTGAACTTATGTATATTAACATGTTAGTGCTTATTTACATCAGAGCGGGGGTATTACTAGTGAGCATTGGCTCACAGATTTCTTGTTCAATATATATGAGAAACACTTATAAATTTATTGAGCTCCAGACATAATGCAGGTCTATTGTACTTTAAATTAAGTGAAAATACTTATATTCTTTTCAAACTATGTTTTACATGTTGCTAGATACTGTGATATTGTGCATACAGGAACTCTTAAGATGCCAAGTGATTTATTTCACTAATGTTTATGGGTTTCAATCTTTAGTTTTTATTCTGGGGTTTCTTTCTGAGCTAGTTTTTTTTAAAGGGGAGCAGTACCGGTTTGACCTACTTAATTTTTTTTTGTTTTGTTTTGATTTATAATTGGATATTATTTGTTTATTTTTAGAGATATGGAAGTTTCTGTATAGAGCACTGGAGTAACGTGATTTTTTTTTTAACAATTTCAAGACTGACTTGTAAAATAATTGGTTACATATTAATGACTAAAGTATCTAAACTTGGAAACTATCTTGAAAATGTATACAGACCATATCTGATTCAATATGTTTTTGTTTATTGACTTTGAGAAGCTTTTAATGTTCACATAATTCAAGAAGAAGGCAAATGTTTAAATTAAGAGTTTACAAAGTATTGATCTTTTAAATAAAAATGTGACCAACAGATCTAAGAAATCCAGAAAATACTTCATAGTTTAATTAATGAAACATCATAGAATATATTTTGGTTACAGAACAAGGTGGTAGATTTAGATTTATTATTGAATGATAAATGTCTCTTGATTATGACTACTTTAGAATTTGAAAAAAAAAGTCATTCATGATATGTGATATTATTTATTGATTGAATTTTATTTGTTTTATGCATATATCAAATTTTGTTTTCATGAATTGATAGCCAAAATATTTATATCCAATTAAATACTTAATGAAATCTGATTTATTCTCTTGTCAGACACTGAATTTGTTTAAATCACTTAGGTTGCCGATGCATCGTTTCTGTGCTTTTCATTTTTTCATCATTTTATTCCAATTAATATAATTATTCATCGTTTAAATTGGTATCTATCTTTCATGATATATCAAAACATTGAAGCACTGACAACTAACCATTGACATCACAAGCTGATATACAACCATATTAATTTGTCATGGAGTTATACAAGTCATACATGTACAGTTAAATTAATGAATGAAAAGGGAAGGCAATGTGTGTAAAGAGAAGTAGTTTGAAATGATATGAAATCACGGCATCTATAATTTAATTTTAAAGGACAGGCAATAAAATATGTATTTTAAAATATCAATGATACACTTAATTTTTTTTTAATATTGAAAAAAAAGAAAATTGTCAGAGTTCCTTTATTTTCAGAAACATAATTTCGGGATAAATCAGTCAAAACTTGTCTAATACATGTAGGCATATTTCCTTTAAATTGTACATGTATATAATTTGAAACTTATGGTGATATTTGATGTATATTTTACTTTCCAAATAAAAATAGCAATGTGCATTATAAAAGGGCCAAGCGATTGAAAGGGGGTACCAGGTATTTGAGTTAAAAAGGATATAAATACCGTATTGTCAGCCGTGAGTAACAAAACACTGATTTAAAACGCAGTGACGCAGCATCGATTTTGAAAGGAGGGGAAGCCAGAAAAAAATTACTTACCTGAAAGAATTTGAGAAGCAAAATAAAACAAACAAACAAAAAATGCCCAAACTCCAAAATCCTAATTGGGGGGGGGGGGGGGCAAACATCTTTCAGTATCAAATTTTCTCCAAACAATTACTACATTGTACCCTTCATTACTTTACTTTAGCCAAAAGAGGGGGCCTACCAGCCTTTCAATGAACATTTAAATAGTAAAAGTTATGATTGAAAAAAGGAAGGCAGTTCCCCTCCCCCTGTCAACACCCCCCCCCCCCCCCGTTGCTACTTGCCTGAAAATTTTGTTAAAAATATTTTGAGTTTGAGTCTTTTTATAGAGTTTACCAAAAATTTCATTTCATTAGTTTATATCTATGATGATGAATAACAGGTATTGGTATTTAAATCTATATTTATCTCCAATTTATCCAGGAAGTAATATTACAGATCTCGTTCAAGTCTCAACTAAAATCTCATTTTGACATTCCAAAATCTGTCAACAAAGTCATCTGTAGGTCAATCATAAAAGTGTAAGTACATGTACAATTAAGGACATTTACGTATTTTAAAATCAACTTTTATGTGAATTATGGAATAAAAACCAAGAATTGATTATTGATATACTAGAATAGCAAATTGAATGCATAATATGATATCACTGTTGAAATGTTTTCAAACAATTAATATCTGTTTTCCCCTAATTCTAGAAAAAAATATGGATAAGAACATATGTTTAAAACAAAGAATTGATTATTGATATACTAGAACAGCAAATTGAATGCATAATATGATACCACTGTTGACATGTTTTCAAATAATTAATATCTGTTTTCCCCTAATTCTAGAAAAAAATATGGATAAGAACATATCTTTGAAACCAAGAATTGATTATTGATATGTACTAGAACAGCAAATTGAATGCATAATATGATATCACTGTTGATATGTTTTCAAATAATTAATATCTGTTTTCCCCTAATTCTAGAAAAAAATATGGAGATAAGAACATATCCCAGATAGCAAGACTATGTTGGGCCAACATTGGCAAAAGGTTGTATGGTTGGCGTTGGGGAAACAACGTTGCATGGGCCAACGTTGGACCAATGTCAACATGCCAACCTTCTTGACCATGACAGAATTCCTATGTTGGCCCAACGTTGGTCCAACGTTAGCAACTTCCATTCACTTTACTTCACAAGGAAGGAGGGATGTTTATGTTGGCCCAACGTTGGCCCACTGTTTGGAATACACCCTAAAAGAATGCGTTTTATCAAGTTGATAGTAGTATGTTGGCCCAACGTTGCATGGCCCAACGTTGGCCCAACGTTTGTTATACACCCTTAAAGAAAGTGTCTTTTAAAGTTGGTAGTAGAATGTTGGCCCAACGTTGGCCCGATGTTTGTAATACACCCATAAAGAATGTGTCTTATCAATTTGATAGTAGTATGTTGGCCCAACGTTGGCCCGATGTTTGTTATACACCCTTAAGGAAAGTTTCTTATCAGATTGGTGGTAGTATGTTAGCCCAACGTTGGCCCATTGTTTGTAATACATCATTAAAGAAAGTGTCTTATCAAATTTGTAGTAGTATGTTGACCCAACGTTGGCCCGATGTTTGGTATACACCCTTAAAGAAAAAGTCTTACCAAATTGGTTGTAGCATGTTGGCCCAACGTTGGCCCGATGTTTGTAATACACCCTTATCAAGTTGGTGTTAGTATGTTGGCCCGACGTTGGCCCGATGTTAGCACGAGTGTTCTTATGTTTAGGTGTTTCAAAGATGGGATATTTATATTGGGCCAACGCTG